GCAGTTTATCTACCTCTACTTTTCCAACTCCTTTCTCTTTCATACTGTTTTTAAAGGCAAATGTTCCAAACTTTCATGGGGAAAAATTATGCATATATTTTTACTAACTATTCCAGAGTGAAAAAATGAGAAGCCCATTGTAACTCATTCTAGGAGACAAAGCATTGATTTAAAAATTAAGATGTAATAATAAAAGAAACCTACAATATATTCAGGCTTTATATATAAGCATATCTCCCCTAAACAATATTAATATGTCATTGATATCAGTTTATAAAATGCATAAGAATTTAATAATTATAAGACAGTTGTCCAAACTTCATTGATCTCATGTTTGGCTGGATGGTTTAATTTTGGAAAGTCTATAATTAGAATTAATCACATTATCAGACTGAGTTAGAAAAAAATTGAGCATTTGAATAGATGAAGAATTAATACCATTTAGAATGGAAAAAGCAATAAAAATTAAGAATAAAAGGGAAATGCCATAATGATAGAATGTCTTATAAAAACTAGACTGAACATACTTGAACATACTCTTAAAAGGTGAAAAGTTAAAACAGTTTGGGAAAAATTACAGAGGTCCTAAAAAAATTGGTAGAAATATTATGTTCCTGGATTGTACAGCTTAGTGTTATAAAAATGTCAATTGTACTCAAATTAATCTTATTTGCATGATGACTTTGCAATCAAAATCTCACTAAGAGAATGTGTAGAATTTGACTTTGATTTAAAAATGTATTTTTAAAATGCAAATTATAAAGAATAACATAGTAAATTTTTAAAAAACCTACACTACCTGATAATAAAACTTACGCAGCTGGAGTTATTGAGGCAATACAGCATCCATCAATGGAGCAGAATAGAGACCTCAGGAAAGACCCATGAATGTATAGGACTGTATCATATGACATAAATGGCATGCTAGGACAGGCATGCAAAAATGGCCTATTCAATGTACCTGGAGATAATGATTACGTATATAGCAGAGGATGAAATTGGATGTTTACTTGATGTGTATAAAAATCAACTTTAGACTGGTCAAGGACTTAATGTCATAGAAAATGTTAAACTTTTTTTTTTTTTTTCCTTGAGAGAGATTGGGCCTACACATGCAGAGGGATTGGGTAGAGAGAAAGAATCTTAAGCAGTCTCCACACTCAGTGCAGAGCCTGAACTGGGGTTCAGTCTCATGACCTGGAGATCATGAACTGAGCCCAGGTTGGAGACTTAACCAACTGAGCCACCCAAGTGCCTCTAAACTTTTATAATGTTAAAAACTAAAGCTTCTGGATGCCCTTAATTAAACAGAAATTTCCAAAAAATAGAATAGAAATTCAATATTAATTTGGCAGGTAAAACTACTTCACAAAATTTGCTCTACCCCCAAATCTATTCACATTAACAATATTTGCAGCAAAACAATAACATTCATTAGCACAACCAAATGACAAAGTCTGATGCTTTAAGCTACAAAAATTATATCCAGAGAAAGACTGCTCTACAGCAGTTTATATAGTTTGGTAAACCTCTTCATCCTCACATCTATTTTATTGGGATTTTCAAATGCCTGGAGTTTTGGGGATGGCTGGGTGGCTCAGATGGTTGAGCATCTGCCTTTGGCCCAGGTCATGATCTCAGGGTCATGGGATCTAGCCCCAAGTAGGGCTCCCTGCTCACTGGGGAGTGTCCCTTTCCCTCTACCTCTCCCCGCTGTCCTGATCTCTTCCTTTCTTTCTTTCTTTCTATTTCAGATGAATAAATAAAATCTTAAAAAACAAAACAACAACAACAACAACAACAAAAACAACAATCCTTCCACCCAAAAAAACCCACAAATTCCCGGTGTTTTTCTGAAACTCAATTGAATGAATAGTTGTGTGGTCCTCCTCCCACCAATCGTACCCAATCACTGCCTGGGGGAAGACAACAATAACAACAACAACAACAAACAAGAAAATTAATTGAGCATCAAATCTGACTCTTATCAAATGAAAGCAGAAACTCCACAGCTGTACCAGGACCTGTGGGATGGGCAAGGAGCCCAAGGATATCCTCTTATGCAAATGCAAACAATCTCAACTAAATGTTCTGTAACATTTTGTAAATGGCCTCAACTGAGGTAAATGGGATGGTCATATTGATAACATTGCACTCCCTTAAAAGGAAGGAGGGAAAGAAAGAGGAAGGGAAGGAGAGAGGAAGAATCTAAATTGAGTTTGCAAAAATGCTTACACCCACTTCACGAAGTTTATTGTCTAAAATCTCAATGTAAATGTAGAAATAATAACAAATAGAAATGAGGTCCCTTACCACCTTCAAAAAACATACTCATAGTAGTAGACATATATCATTACTCCAGAAAACCTAGTTATGAAGAGAGATGATTTACATGCATGATGTACTGTACTGAGTCTGGCTTTGGTGACTATACTCATATTGGTCACTTAAATGGAAGACAGGGATCCAAAATCATCACTGCAGCTGATGTAGTAATCAATATAATCAATGCCATTTATTCACCTTAAGTGAAGACTGTCTTCTTGTTCCTCTGTGTGATTATTAGACCTGAATGCTGTCAGAAGAATTTATGAACATCTTCTCCCTTTGAGACACTCCCCTGAGATCTTGAATGCAATTCTTGGTTTTTCCCTAAGCATCTGAGAGTAAAAAATGATGCTACTGGTCTTTGCTAATTATTCAGAGTAACTTTGATTTCCCAATTGAGGATTTTTTTTAAAGGTTTTATTTATTTGAGAAAGAGAGAGAGAGAGAATGAATGGGCAGGTGTAGAGGAAGAGGGAGAAGCAGACTCCCCACTGAGCAGGGATTCCCACACGGGGCTCTATCCCAGGACCCTGAGATCATGACCTGAGCCAAAGGCAGACTCTTAACCAATTCAGCCACCCAGGCACCCTGTTTTTTTTAATATATGCAATTTACCTACTTTCCTTAATTGTTATTTTTATTATGTTCTGTCAATTGTCTGGATGTAAGTAGAGTTTTTCTCAGATATATGCTTTCATCATCTATCAATTACAGTAAACGTTCAATATTTTCCACAATGGATTCTTCCATGTTTCCTATCTGAGAATAAAGACAAAACTGTTTACACATGACCTATAATGTGTTAAAAGCTCAGAAAGAATAAAAAATTAGGAATATGTGTCTAAAGTTATTTATGTTTAGTTTTTTTTAATTTTTCTATTTTTTTTTAAGATTTTTATTTTATTTATTTGACAGAGAGAGATCATAAGTAGACAGAGAGGCAGGCAGAGACAGAGAGAGAGAGGGAAGCAGGCTCCCTGTCAAGCAGAGAGCCCGATGTGGGGCTCAATCCCAGGACCCTGAGATCATGACATGAGCTGAAGGCAGCGGCTTAAACCACTGAGCCACCCAGGCGCCCCTATGTTTAGTTTTTTAACCTAAGGGGCTAAACTGAGTTAATGATACATAATTCCATATCCTGTGTTTATCCTCATCCTAATTCCCACTCCTAAACCAGTTTCCTTTCCCTACACAAGTATCTCCTCCACTAAAGTTGATGTATGTTCTTAAGAAATTCAGCTTTATGGGGTGCCTGGGTAGATCAGTCGGCTATGTAGCTGACTCTTGGTTTTAGCTCAGGTCATGCTCTCAGGGTGGAGAGATTGAGCCCTGCATTGGGCTCCACACACAAGTGGGGAGTCTGCTTGAGATTCTCTCCCTCTTCCTCTGCCCTCCCCCTGCTCACAGGCTCTCTCTCAAATTCTAAATTAAATAAATAAATCTTAAAAAAGAAATACAACGTTATAAAGTGAATATAATGTATGTTTTAAAGTGCACACACAGGGTGTTGTATGACTTATTTTGATACTTCAAGGTTATCACAGCTATATGGCTTTCAATTTTATTCATTTTGTACATACACACTAATATTTTGCTGGCTTTTGCTTAATAAAATTGTTACAATCTGTATCTGCCCCCATTTACTGTAGTTTTGCTGCCATAATAAGAGGCATTTGGTTAGTTCCCAACTTGTGACTTCTACATGCATCACCACAATTAACAAATTCATGTGTGTGGTCCCCACTGACCCATGTAGGAACACATCTGAAATATCACCTGAGACCCTGTTTTGGGATAAATAGAGCAGATTTAAATTATTTACATAAAGATGGATCTATTCCAAGATTTCTTTTATCCATATACATGCTTTCATCAGTACACAACATTTTATACTGTGAACAGCCAACTTATGAATATGTACCCCTTGAGGAAATGGTTAAGTCTACAGCAAATAATTAAATCGGATATACTTTATATTGCTAATACTATTTTCCTTGATTTTTTTTAAAGATTTTATTTATTTGTTTGACAGAGAGAGATCACAAGTAGGCAGAGAGGCAGGCAGAGAGAGAGAGGGAAGCAGGCTCCCTGCTGAGCAGAGAGCCCGATGTGGGGCTCGATCCCAGGACCCTGACATCATGACCTGAGCTGAAGGCAGAGGCTTAACCCACTGAGCCACCCAGGCGCCCTTATTTTCCTTGATTTAATACGTTATTTTTTAAAGGAATCCAAATATCTGGGGTTCCTGGGTGGCTCAGTCAGTTAAACGTCTGCCTTCAGCTCGGGTCATGATCCCAGGGTCTTAGGATCAAGCCCTGCATCAGGCTCCTTGCTCAGCAGGAGTCTGCTTCTTCCTCTCCCGCTGCCCCTCTCCCTTCTTGTGCTCTTTCTCTCTTTCTCAAATAAATAAATAAAATCTTAAAAAAATTAAAAAAAGAATAAAAAAATCCAAATATCTGTCATGATTTGAAATGGAAAAGTACACTAACTATAATCCATGTCAACAAAGAAGTTCAGAGACAGACACTAATTTTAATATAATGATTTGAATGTCTATAGATCTGATAATGCTGGTGAAGTAGATGTTGAAGTGACAAAACACCAACACACACCTCATAGCAGAGTGGGGAGTGCAGAGATCTCCAAATCCTGCCTTTCCTCTTCCTGGGCACCTGGCTAGCTGACTTCTTATCCTCCTGGCAACTCTGGAGAAGTTGCTGAGCTGTAGCCTCATACCTCATGGAGGCACAGCCCCTCCCTGTGGGCAGCCAAGCTCCAACCCTACTGTGTGCTTGTCCTTTCAGAGTTTTCTCAATGTTCAAAACACAAAATGAAGACAGAATGCTGAAAAATTGTGAGAGGAAGCAAACAAAGAGAAAAGTGATTACAATATAAGAAAAGATGCGGGAGTTATTCAGGAATTGTTGGTTTGCACCCTTTTTGATTATGCATCAATCTCAAGGCAATATTTTAAGCAACCATATCTTAACATGGATGTTTTTTACATAATATTTCATATGGGTTTTAATTGATATCATATAATCTGAGTCCATGTCTTAAATTAATCACTTTGTGATTGGGTAAACATTAATCTTTATCATTCAGTTATCTATTTGAAATATGAATTTCAGTGTTTTTTTTTTAATCATTACTTACTTCTTGTGAAAACTATAGCTCAAATTATTTTTGTGGTTTGATATTAAGTAGTAGATATTTTGGTATTTACATTTAGTTAACCCAAAGTCATGTGCATTTCATGAGATGATGTAAGATTTTGTTATTGAAGCTTGACAACAACTTTTTTGTCAACAAAATTTCTCCAACCTTGTAGATGGTTGTTGTTTGTACAAGTACCTTTATGTTTTGAAAGAGTCAAAACCAATTCTGGACAGGTGTGTAGAATAGAGGATAATAACTGATGGCATTATTTATGGAAGGGTCTTAGGCTTTTATAAGTAATAGTTTTGTTTAATAAAAGGAAAAGAAAACTGTAGCTTTTAACTGAAGCACAGAAAAAAGTAAGGAGAGATAAAGAGAATGAGTAAGAGAAAGGCACCAGTATTAGTTTAAGACCCAATATATATGGGAGATATAAGAAGTTCAGTGGAGAATTGTTTTGTGGTAGAGTAGTTAAGCTTTTCTAAGCATATGTAAACTCTGTTTTGTCTCCTGTCACCCGTATCTTCAGGGATTTCTACTTCTCTTTTGAATGGTTTCCTTGAAAGGATTTTTTCCTTTCCATGGAGGTGGCATGTAGAAATAGCCATTTGGAAAGCAGATGATAGATATGACTCATGGCATGTAGACATCTGGTGAAGGCAGGGAGATGGCACTGGCAGTTCAAACCAAACTTTTGTAGACCTTATGGGACCAGAAAATCTCCATTGAAAGCCTTACAGTTCCTAATTGTGGACAAGTGATATGTGAGCCCATGTGTATGTGTGTATACACTTTGGAAACTTTGAACCAAAATACTTTCTACTTATCATTCAAAGGGATTTTTGCATAGATTGTTTAGAACAAATTTTATAGTAATATAGAAAGCGTAACTAGGGTAAGCTTTTGAGAAACTATCCCAATGAGTACTAGCCAATGAGACATGAAGACTTTAGATTGCCCAGTTTCACAAAATATACCAATGTAGATGTAGATATGTGAGGCAGAAAATGGTCTCCCACCCTGCCAAAGATGCCCAGAACTGTGAACGGGGTTCCTTCCACATGAAGAGATTTGCTGATGTGATTAAGTTAAGGACCCCCAGATGGGGAGGCTGTCCTGGACTATCTGGGTGGACCAACGTAATCCCAAGAAAGAGAGAGAGGCAAGAGAGTCCGAGTCAGAAGGAGATGGTGGCAGTGCAAGCAGAGGTCAGAGCAGTGGGATCACTGCTTGGAAGGGGTGCCAAGAAAGGGATGAGGATTGCCTCTACAAGATGGAAGAGAAAAAGAAACAGACTCTTCCCTAGCAGTCCAGGAAGGAGCACAGCCCGCTGACATCTTGACTGTAGCTGAGTGAGACTCATTTTAAACTTCCAATCTCCAGAACTGTGAGATAATAAGTTTCTGTTGTTTCAAGCCACTGAGTCATTGGTGATGTGTTATAGTAACACTAGGAAACTAATACAAGTGACAAAATAAGTTTAGAAAATACATATATTTAAATTAAGTTAATAAATATAAAGCACTACAGCTATCATTCTTGACTTTAGTTCACAATAAAATTCATAACATCGATAGGCATGTAAGTATGAGTTTATCCCCGTTGCTCCAATTCTGTTCTCCAAACTAGGCTCAAGGAGAAGGCCTTTTTGCCAGGAAATATATTTCCCCTATTGCACGTATGTAGGCTGTTGCAGTAAAATACAGCCACAGGAAAGTGAAACAAGAGATAAATATACAATAAATTATATTATATACTTTTATATATTTATAAGGAATAAAACATAAAATCTTTAGGGTTATTGCTATCAAGTTATTGCCAGTTTTGTCTGTGTGACTTTTCTGTTTTTAGCTAGCTATTCTGCTTATTTAAGACTATATCAGGGAATTAGCTAATGAAATTGAGTGTCAAAGTTCCTCTATTTGCCTTATTTCTGACTTCCCTGAAGCTGTCATAAATCTACTTTATTTCCAGGCATTGCCTTAGCTAGCATGGTATTCCCCATCTCTCTCATGATATTGTATGTCACAGCACTTTGCATGTACAGACCAAAACAGGGGACAGAATGACACTAAACATTTATTTGTTCATTTATTTATTTGCCATTGTGTCTTTGAGATTTGGTATCACCTTAAGAGCAAACACTGTGGTTTTTTTTTTCCATTTTTATCTACTTACATTTTACTCCAAAATGCTATGCAAAAACACTAAAAGGAGTGATTTTTGCTTTGTTACAATTTTATAACACAGATAATTAACTCTACACAGCAGTGCTTCCTAGGAGAATATGATATGGAGGAAATTAATTTTACATCACATTGGGTAAATACCAACTTTTGCTTTTGTGTACATATACCATATGAAAGGAATGAAAGAGTGGAATCCCCTTTCACACACTTTCTTCCGATTTGCTCCCTGGTCTGTTTCCATGTGTGTCTAAGCATTTTTTGTTTAGTTTTCATTTTCACCTAAAGTTTCCCTTTGATATAAATTTATTTAAGTACAAGAAAAAAATGGATTCTAAAAGGTTAAGAAATTGAAAGATATAGGAAAAAGTAAAAGTAAAACTTTTGATAGTTGAAAAGAACAGATCTATGGCAAGTAGGATGATCTGACTCAACCATATCCCAAGAAATCATTCTCACATTCCTTCCTCAAGTATCAGACTTTCTCACCCTTGGCTAGAAATTATAAAAACCCAGTAGTAAGTTGTGTTGCACTTTAAACTGTATATATTTTGAAATTATTATTTACTACTTAAATAAGTGTACTTTCTATGGTCTACTAAGACATCTTTGTATTAGGGAAAGTTGGGTATTTGAGGTCTGAGTAGAAATGGCTAAAATTTTCCCAATGAAAACCATAGAATTTGTAGCTGTGTATTGCCTTTGCATTTAACAAATATTAGCTTTTCAGGAATAATTACAAACGCTTAAAAGAAGACAGTTGTAGTTTTAAATTTACATTAATTTGAAAGCCTCCCAAGGATTCTTTAGCAATCTCTTCAAAGCATCCTTTACATCCTTGTTCCTTAGGCTGTAGATGAGGGGATTCAGCATTGGTATCACCAGGGTGTAGAAGACAGAGGCCATTTTATCAGTACCTAATGAGTGGTTGGACCTTGGTTGCAAATACATGAAAAAAGGGTCCCATAGAACACAGTGACAGCCATCATGTGAGAGGCACAGGTGGAAAAGGCTTTTCGTCAGCCCTCTGAGGACCGAATTCTCAAAATGGCAAGGACAATGTTGAAGTATGATGTTAGAACAATAATCATAGAGAAAAACAAATTGGTTCCTGCAGAGGTAAATACTACTGTTTCTGGGATGTAGGTATCAGAACATGACAATGCCAACAAAGGGACATTATCACAGTAAAAATGGTCGATTACATTGGAAGAGCAGTACGACATGGAAAACACACAGGAGGAGACAGTCAGTGCTGTGGTCAGACTGTAGAGGTAAGTGAGGGACACCAGCAGTATGCAGATCTGTGGAGAGACCACCACCATGTAGAGCAGGGGTTTGCAAATAGCCACGTAGCGATCATATGCCATTGCAGCCAGCATGAAAATCTCACCAACAATGAAAACCAGGAACCCACCTAGTTGGGCTGCACATCCATAGTAGGATATGGTTTTCCTTGAAACCAAGAAATTTACCAGCATTTTTGGTGCAATCACAGTAGAATCACAAAGATTGATGATAGCCAAGTGCCTGAGGAAGAAGTACATGGGCGTTTGGAGCTGAGAGTCAACACTGGTGATGGTGATGATGCCCAGGTTCCCTGCCATGGTCAGCCCATAGATCAGCAGGAAAACAAAGAAGAGTGGAATCTGGAGGTCTGGGCGATCTGAGACTCCCATGAGAATGAACTCGGTCACCTGGGTGATATTTTCTGAGGCCATTTATTTTGTTGTTTTCATCTTTTAATAGGGAAAATGAGAGGAGATTAGTAGAGGGTGAAGTCAATTTTTCTGGTAGATGCTAGATTATAGACTGTCTCATTTAAATTGGATAATTTTTGTTCACATGTAAAAGTGTCAGATTTTAATTGTATTTTTCCCAATCTTTTAATAAGATTCAGAAATACAAACTCACTGGAGGCCAATTTCAGGTTGTTAGAACTGTTATACCAAGCCATTAATTTTTCATATCTCTGTCGAATGCAATTTATATTAGTTAAATATATATTAATCTACTATATCATATGCATAATATTTATATGCATATTTAAACATATTAATTGTAATGTTGCATGAGTATATATTTACATATATCTGCACATGCCTCTTTGTATGTTTGTACATTCCCAGTGACAAAAGATAGCTACGTATAAGAAGTTGATGACTGAGGTTGACTTTCAATTATTTTTTCCTTTGATGCCAAAGACTCTTCAGTTCATACATTGTCTTCATCCTTGGTTTCAATATTTCTGCAGGAAATACTTGGAATATGTTGGGTTTTCTTTATTAGTTTCTACCCTACCATGGTGCTTCTACTGCCCAGCAACAGACTACATCTCAGTAGTCTTTATTTGTGTCATTCAGAAACTGATTTTTTTGTCTTAATCACATATCCCT